GTGCAGCGTCACAGCACTGGCTTGGCTCCAAGCGCAAACTTCCCCAGTAAAAAATAGCAGGTAGTGGGAAAGAGCAGGACTCCCCAAGCCCTTTCGACACATGGGCACCTTTGGGGATCTGAGAAACCCCACAATTAGTGGGTCACCCCGTGCGCTCCACTGCTGTGGGTCTTCGCTTGTGTCTTACTCAGGAAAACAGTTGGAGCCTCTCTAATGGACAACACAATGTCCTTGAATAAGGAATTATTCATCGGTGGAAATACAATAAAGAGGATGCTACTTTTAAATAAGTGTCTTAGTTTTGCCCGATCATAGCAGCAGAGCGAGTCAGAAGGGGGCTCCCGGGCCATCTAGTCGGACCCCCGGCTCCAGCCAGCTCCGCTCATGACATGCCCGCCATCATAGCTTCTATTTGGAAGCAGGTTGTTATAGGGATGTATTTTATCCTGGAAATCCTTTCCTATTCATTGAATAGGAATGAATAGGAATGTCCACACTCTTTTCAATTATTTACCTGCTTCGTAGAAATTAATAAATATACAGTATACATGGATTTCTGGCCCCTTTTATTTTAGTCACTAGTCAAAGATCTTAAAGCAGTTGACAGCAACATATAAAATACAATAAGAATGTAATGATAAAATGCCATAAAATACAGTAAATCAGCATGAACATTATGCTACGAAATGTAGAAGGCAGATTTTAACTTGATTGCTAAATTTATTAAGGTCACAATCCCAAGCATGTTCAGATACTCTGGCTGGGAAGGGCTCTGTGTTGGAGGACTTTTTCTGCCTAAACACACATAAGATCAGACTGGAATCTGCATGTATTTGCATATGAGGAAACGAGGAATTCTAGCAGAGAAGAGGGAAGCAAACTTGGGCTGTTTAATGATTGCTTGTACCTTGGAGTAGACTTTGTTTACGAACAGGCTGGCCAGAGGAATGAGAAAAGCTTTTTTTATGCTACCAGGTGGCATTCGGTGTGCTACACAAAGGAATTCCAGGTTTTTAAAAATTCTGCTAGCTAACGAAAAGGGGGGATCCTTGGAGCTATTGTTTGGAATATCCTTAGCAGTAAATGATCTATTTCTGCTCTCTGCAAGTTTCAGACATGCTTGTTCTGCTTCATTCTATTTCTGCCATTAAAGCAACAATCCGCTCAAAAAGTCATATTTTTGAATGCGATTTCCCCCAAAATGTACATTTTTGAATTCACTTTGCTGCAAAGCATTTTAGATGCTTCTTCTCTCAATGCAAATCCTCTCTCCTTTCCTTTCTTCCACTAAGCACTGCACCACGACATTCAGAGAGGTACAACAGGATCACCGAGTCCCAATCTGTGCAAGATGCGTGATGTTAAAATGCAGGCCTAGTGAAATTCCCCCAACCCTAAATCTGAGTAACCAACTCAACTTTGCAGACTTATGGCTAACACCATTTGGGCAATTTACAACTGTGCAGCAGTCCCTGTTCTTGTTCTTTGGAGTTCAAGGTGAAGCTTCTCAGGAGCATTTGGATGCCAGGAAGCACGTCCTGACAGTCAGGACCCCGAGGGTATGGAATGGGCTTCCCCGGGAGGTGGTTGAGGCCCCATCGGTGAGGGTGTTCAAGGATAGGCTGGACATGCACATGGTGGGCATGTTGTGAGTGGCGCTGGCTAGAGCCGGGGGTCAGACTAGATGGCCCAGGAGGTCCCTTCTGACTCGCTCTGTTTCTCTGTTTCCATGTTTCTGTTTTGGAAGGGGGAACATGGACTGGATGAGGACCCAGGTCCCCATGGTCTATGCGCGGCTGACCACTGATTCGGGGCACGGGAAGGGTGCTCAGCAAGCTAAACACACCTGGTCTGGAGAAATTGCATTTTGTGAGTCGGCGACGAGCAAGGGGGTCTTTTATCATCAGCTCAAGTTCCTTCCTTATCAAATTCTCTTTCCCTCCTGCCCCACGTGTCTCTTTATCCTTTTGATGGCTCTTTGGACAAAGCATATCAGTGCCTTGTGAGGAAATCAGGGCTGGACTCCCTGAAGGTGTTGGAGGAGAGTGCTGGTTGTCATTAAAATGATTCGGGGGCCCAGGCCCACGGGACACAAATCTGTCGGGGAGACTTGTAACTCCCAGGTCAGTGGGGCTCCTCATCCATTACAGCTTTATTTTGAGCTTTCTATAGATGCAATGGACAAGGGGTCCCAAGCAGTCACCAGCTTCACTTGCCACTCCAAGGTTCCCCCCTGGCCATGCCTGAGTTCGGAACCATGGAAGGTCCATGGACTGGGTTTCGGGACTGAGTTCAGGACCATGGAAGGTCCCATGACGCGCCCACCAGCCGTTCCATGGGCGGGAACCTATTTCGGGGCAGCGCGCTGCACCGGGGAGAGCTCCCACGAAGCCCCCAGCAGGCTGCCCAGGGGTACGGGCCTAGTTCGGGGTTGCGTTCAGGACCACGGAGAGCTCCTCCGAAGCGGCTCCTGCCACTCGGCTCCCTTGCACATCTCTGTCCGCTGGTGTAGATCTATCTATTTATGCAAATATTAAAAAGTAATTCCTGGGATCGAATTAAATTTCACAGGAGGGAAACCCAGCCAGTTAACTTCTCATAAAAATCACCTGGAAAGCATCAGTTAATAAGCACTCTTCTTCAGAGCTTTCAAACCAACGGAAGTCCCTCCAGCCCCCAGAAGCTGAAATGCCGTGAAGAGGCCTGGTGCTGAAAGACATTTTGCATCCCTGGGTGGAAAAACAGAAGCAAATCAATAGATTTTGAAAGAGCTACTGGGGAAAGTTCGGTAGAAATGATGCTTATTTGACCGTCACTTCATTGTCTGCTTTGAAAGTGTGGTTTAGTTTTCCTAATTGGAGATTGGGACACTGCTTGGAATTCTTGCTTTCTTGTCCTTTCTTGCAACCTCATGCCTTCCAGATGGAAGACTACAAATCACATAACCCCTTGCTGAGGAAGATGGGAGCTAATGTCCAACACATTTGCATGTTGCTAGGTTAGGGATGGCTAGTTACCACTCTGCTACCTTGGCAGGATTGTCTTTATGGATTCAAGCATATTTGCTGCTTCATGAGGACTAGCTACTTTGTTGTTGGTGGTTGTTAATGAAGGCTTGCGCTCTCAGTGAAGTGAATTCACTGACAGATAATCACCACCTTCTGTGAATTTCTGTGCTTCCCATCTGAATCAGGGCAAAACTACATATGACCCTCTTGTTCCTACAGTGGTGTTTTTCCCCGCAACCTTTCGGTGGTTACCTGTTTGTGCTGAAATAGCTGGAGGTGTCTCAGGCACTCTGAACTACAACCATGGTGCCATTGAGATGTTTTGGGAGGCGATTCCCAGAACTTGTGAACATTGATCATGCTGGTCTTAGATGGTGGGGGAAGAGCCAGATGTCCAGCAGGTACCAGGCTGGTGGAGGTCAGCCCACCACTGAGCTGGAAATCAGATGTCTTGAATTCAGTGCGACCTGCTTCTGAGTAGGCATGTAAAAGATCGCGCGGTGAATCTTCCAATTTGCATCTCACCCATTTTTGGGTACGGGAGGATTTGATTAATGACAGCTATTTACCCTCCTCAGGTGGGTAACAGAATCAAAAGGAGGACCCTGAATACAGACTCAGAAATGAATGACAAGCTGGCCCACAATTTATCCACTCCGGCAAAAACATTATAAACTATAATGACTTCATACTTTTCCAATCTGACAAAAGCACAATAAAGCAGTTTATGACTTTTTATAATCCAACAGAAACATTCCAAGGCAGTGTATGACTTTTTCCAATCTGGCAAAAGCATTATAAATCAGTGTGAGTCCCACCTGGATTCTGTGCAGGGTCAGAAATGTAACCCCCCCCCCCGCTTCCGTTCTCCCCTCCTCACAATTCAACCACAGCACTGGGGTGGAAAGGAGGCAGTGTGGAGCCGTACGGCTCCTCTGGGAACAAAAAGAGTTTATTTCGGGGAACGTGTTCCCGGTCGTGCCCTCTTGTTCAGTCCTGTGCGTGCGAGGGATGCTATTTAGATGCCTCGCCCCAGGCAATGAGATTTCTTAAGCTGGCTTTGGCAAGAGGGCCATTAACTTCAGCTCGGCACATCTTTTAGCATGCTTGCAGCTCAATGATTCCACGAACGGCCTCGCACGGTGGCTGCAGAAGAGATGCACAGCTGCTTGGCCTGGCTCTGTGCATCTCCTCTCACGGGCAACGGTTTCCCGGGGTCTCAGGCGGCGAAGGCCGCTTCCCACCTGACCTTTCGACTTGGAGATCTCAGGGTCCGAACATGCAGCTTTTTGACTGGTTTCAGCCAACACAGCAATCCAGAGGCTGAGTATGAGTGGAGTTTGAGTTGTTGTTGAAATGTGGATTGTCGTATAAATGTGGATTGTTGTGTTGTCACTGTGCGAACAAACCACGATCATTTTAACCCTAAGCAAGTCACACTTTGCAGCCTAAGAGCAAACCAGAGGTCATCCTCGTGGGCTGTTTGTGGTGAGCCACCAAGGGTCGTTAGCTGTACCTTCTGCCAAGGTCCCGGCACCTGCCCAGCTACACTGTTCTCTCACTCCGGACTGGAACTTGGGTGGGATTTCTAGCACCTGCGCACTGGGCGGGCTGGACAAATTCACAAACGAGTCAGAGCAGGTTGGTTTTCTTTGAACGGGGCCTGTGCTTTCTGCTGACATGGAAACTCCATTTTAACTTTTGGAGGGGGAACTGCCCAGACGTGTAATGAAGCCGATACACATTAAAGACGGGGGGGCTTAGCTCCTCACTTCATTCCTGCTTCGTGCAAATGGAATGAAATTCTTGCATGTTGCTTTGAAAAAGTCAGGGTCCATAAGCGAGCAGAGAACGGAACAAAAGGCGACATGTGGACAGAATGGATTGAGGAAAAGCAGGACACCCCGGCTCCAGCCCTCGCCGTCCCCGTTTGCTTCCAAACCCGTGACGTGTCCTGTTTTTCTTCTCTTGTCCCGCCTCCCCACCCCACAGGCATCATGTGCATTATGTCATCCCATACGACGGAGACCAGTCGGTGGTGGACTCCTCGGAGAATTACTTTGTGACTGACAATGTCACGAAGCAGGAGATCGACCTCATGCTGGGACTCTTGCTGGGCTTCTGTATAAGCTGGTTTCTGGTGTGGATGGACGGGGTGCTCCGTTACGCCGTGCGGGCGTGGCGGACAAGCCAACGGTATGGTAAGTGGAGTCTTGCCGCGGCGATTGTCTTTCAACGGGGAGCCGACCTCTCTGTTTGGCTCTCTCTCCGGCCTCTGAAGGGTTTAAAATTGCGCGTTCTTTCAGCCCCAGAGAGAAAGGCATTTGCAACACTTGCTAAAGTTGGGGACTTTTTCCAAGATGGCAACGGAGCAGCGGCCTCTCTGTTGAGCTCGCTCTGATACCTTATCCATTTTAGTTTATTTTTACTATCTGCTTAGTTGTTCATTTTTATTCGTACCAATTTTTATCGAGTAGCGTTTTAAAGTCGACCCTCCTAAAAAGACACTGCTTCTTGGATCTGTAAGTTCCTGGAAATACCCTACAAGTTGCAATGGCTAAATTTGGACTGAGGGCTGATGAAGGGTCCCAAGGAACCTGCAGTCTTCTCCTTTTTCAGAGAAGGTGCGAATGATCTCTCGCAAAGCATTTTCAGCCTGCCGCCCTTGCCGCAGCTCTCCGGCTCCTTTGGAGGAACCCAAAGAAGTTAAGCCAGTTTCTCAAACTTGGGGTTTGGGGCTGATGGAAGCCATCTTGGGGCCAATCCGATGGGCTTTTAGGCTGAAGAAAAGTCGACAATTCTCAGCATCTCTATTCGGACGTAGATCTGAACTTGTAATATTGGTCACCCTTTGCTGTTTTTTATCTAAACGATCATTTTGCACCTGGCTCTGGGTTAGGAGATGTTTGAGGTTCTAGTAATCTCCCTTGTGCTATGCAAGAACAAAAAATGGGGAGGGGAGGGGAGGGGAGGGGAGGGAAGATCCCACAATGCTTGCCATGGTCGTCTTGCAAACTTTCTTAACTTGGTGCCTTCCAGCAGAAATGGGGCTACATTTCCCATTACCCTGGCCATGCTGGCTTGGCCTGATGGGCATTGTAATCAAAGCCATCTGGAAGGTGTCAGGTTGGGAAAGGCTGATGCATCGTATCGTAAGTGGCTCTGCCACATTTTTCCAAACTCAGGTTCATTCAGTTCCATTTCTGCATCCATTTGGGCTTTCTGGAAAATTCTGAGGTCCCTTGGTGCTCTGGGGCAAGTCCACCAGGTGATCCAGACCTATCTGCTGGTCTTCTCTGGTCTAGGATACTCCATCCCTTGGTTCTTGCTGGGCAAAGATCACCTGTGCAAAACATAGAAACAGAGCGAGTCAGAAGGGGCCTCCCGGGCCGGAAGTGAGCCAGATTCTCGAGTGGTGTTGAGGTCATTCTCCCTTGGTCTCTCTCTGTGTTTCTTCTCTTTCCAGACAACTCTTGGTCATGGATTCCAAAATTTTGTAACTTCAAGGAGTTCAGAAAACGTCACCACCGGCAATATGACGAGCCTACCGGGAATATGGTGCATATCAAACAGAAGCTGTACCATAACGGGCATCCCAGTCCCAGACACCTCTGAGGAAACAAGAGACTGAGACATGGTCCTTGAACTTGCCGTTGGCGCTCCGTCACAGGAACGTCCGTCTGCTCGTTCCTCGATGGCTGTGGCTTAAGAACTTCCTTTTACTTACCCGAACAGTGTGCTCAGCTGGCACACAGAGAATGCACAATTCAACCCCGTCCCGGATGCCCGGCGCCCGAGACGTTGCACTGTGGTTACCATTTTCTTGGTGGACTTCTGTACATATGTAAAAAAACAAAAACCCAAATCAAAACGGGGAGAAAGAGAATTTGCAATGTACTTCCAGCCAGTCGCTTCCTTGATGGTGTCCAGCCGTGCCGCTGTATTTCTCCGTTTTGTTTCTTTGTTAGTTCGTTTGGAAAATCCGTTGTCGTTGTTCAAGGTCTTTGTAGGTGAATTTGGCCCGAAGATGCAATGTTTAGCGTCCAAGAACTTCCAAACTCCCCTCCAACTTTGTCCTATCTTCTCTTGTCTGCCCCAAGATTCTTCTTAGTTGCTCGGTTGCCTTGTTTTCAACACGGATTTGATTTGAGGTTTTATCCTGTCTGGTGGCGATGCTGCATATTCTGCTTTGGCCCACATTGGTTGTTTTAGAGTCAGGTTGGTAGCCTGGTTTCCTCTTTCATTTCCTCTTCGTGTGTGTGTTCTGTTTCTTAAATTGAGGGGTTGTCATTCCGTCAGCCTGAACTTGCCATTTTGGAAAGCGGCAACTAACCCTGATTGGCCAGGCCAAACTTGGCAGCCGGCAGCCTGGAAGCAAAACCATCACGCTGAGGCTGCCGCGTTGGGGTTACTACTGCAGGTTTTGGTCGAACATCCTTCCAAGCCAGGTAAAACAGAGCTCCCCTCTCGCAGCCATGGGAGCTGCATTGGCTGGTCACACATTCCCCGTGCGGATGATTAGATCTCCATTTCCATTGCCTTGCCGAAGGGTTAACCCAGTGTGGTTCCTTCTGGGTGTGTTGAACCCATAGCCATGGGGAACGATGTCGGGAGGAGATCCAGTTTGGCAAGGCGGGGCGAGGAGCTGCGTTGAAACCCTGAGGGTGTTTTATCATCACAGACCCGCTGCTCACGGAAGGGAGTTCCAAGGATCGCAAGATCCGTCGGTCTGATGGTGGGACCTCCACTGCTGACTCGTTTGGCATGTTCAGTGGTCTTGTGAATGCTGCAGTTCCTGGGAACAGTGCGGGGGCCTCCATGCAGGTCAGAATTGTTGTTCTCCTAGCTCAGCTCTGACTGACAGGGTCTCTCCAGGGTCTCAGCACGGAGGTTTTCTCTTCATGGGCTACTTGGCCCTGGTATGGTCATTGAACCCGGGGTCCTCTGCATGTAAAACATGCGCCCCACCCCTGAATTATGGTCCTCACTGGCTTATGGCCTTCAGTCACTGGTTCGCAGGTTCTTTCAGGCCAGGAATGGGGAACCTGTAGCCCTCCAGACATTGCTAACAGCGGCTTTCTTCCACCCCGGTCGGCCTGGACACTGGCCAAGAAAGTTGGGAACCTGTGGTGCAGCTCGGGTTGGATCCTGGGGCGGAATACACCACCCAACAACCAAAGGACCCCCCCGCCCATGAGCACCCCTATAATGTCAGGGGCGAAGGCAATTGATGGAAACACCATGCAAATCCTGAAACCATGGTAGCTCTGTGATTTAAATGAGTTTCACACGCGGGGCTGTACAGGCTTGGAGAATGACCGTGCCTTCTCAGGCCACGGCTGGCCAACCATTGGCCATTGCTCAAACCCAGGGGGGCCCAACCTCTGATCTGGGGACCGAGCCTGCCCCGCTGGGGTTCCCCTCTTTTCTCTGCTCCCCATCATTTGGTGGCGTCCTGGCTTTTACGCTGTTTCCTCCCTGTTTCCTCCCATCCTGAAGGGTAGGAACACCCTTTCCAAGGCTTCATAAATGGTGGTAAGTTTAACCTATCATAGGTTGGCCTTTCTGCCTTTGGGCTTCTCCCCACTTGGCTTGTGGCTTCACCCACCAGCCCCAGGGAGCGTCACCCAATTAAAACGTGGCCCTCTGGCTAAAATTCTGCACCCTGCCCCTAACGTTCCAGGGAAGTTAGTTAAGGGGGAGGAAGAAAACAGGAGCTGTGTGTCTCACAGCTGAAGTTACACTCCTGGCCATCGGAAGGGGTCTTTCCTGGCCCCCCAAATTCACTACGCCCATGGTCTAAGTTTCCCTAGCTGCACCAGAGGCAGTGTTAAGAAATGGTCTATGAGGGCCTGACACTTCTATTTGCAGGGACGCCAACCGCCCCATGGCGGAAATAAAAATCCAGGCCCCCGATGGGCTCCGTTGCATCGGATTCCCTTGGATTCAGTTCCCCTTTGGACCACGGTGGCTTCACCTCCTGCTGCCTCCTGAATCGTTTTCCCTGCGTTTTTTTCCTGACGCCAAGCGCCCTCCTTCCCTCCATCCACGCACCCCTTTTTACAGGTAGGGGGTTCCTTTATAGGAGCCCCTAGACCATAGCCATATTCACTTACTTACGAATTTGGGAGCGACTGCACCCAGATGTTTGCAGCCCCTGGCATCGTCTCTGCTCCTGCAAGATCTGCGGGGCTGCAGATTTCCTCGTCCTCCTCCGGGCTCTGATTCTGACCTGCAGTGGGACGGATCCGCTTTTGCATGGCCGGTACTTGGCCCAGAGAGCCGACTTGAATGGTTGTAGCATTCGCAAGACCGGCTACCTCAAATGCTTCCCTTGGCAGTGGCGTTGACATATATGAAATATGTTTGATATATATGAAATATAAAGAGATATCTATTGTACGAATCGACCCTGACATGAAGGGAGAATTCCTCCCCCCCACTCTGTCACACTGCTGCGTATGTATTAACTCACTAGATTGGCCAAAGAATTGTCATCCTTGTGATACTGCTGATCTCCACTGCCCCCAGGCCAAGTGTGCTGACCCTTAAGGGGACCGTGGTGTGTGGCAGGCGGCCCATCCAATCAGAAGGAGAATCCTCTGGGTTGCCCCGGTTGTTAAAGGGGCATGGAACCTGGCTCCATGTAGAAATGGCAGCCCCTAATCTTTAATGGGCTGCTCTGCCTTTGAAAGTAAAGCATCAGGCAGACATCGAACAGGTGCAGTCTCCTGGGTCACTGCCATGGGGGAAGAGGAGCATCGACACCTGTTCAATTTCTGCCTGCCAGGCAGTGATGAAAGGTGCAGAGTTTCCTCCTGCAGGCGGAGAGAGAACAATCCACGGCCTTTGTCATTGTTTCTTTCTATTTGCTTGTTTGGTTTGTTGTTTCTGTATTTATGTATTCAACTGAAGCCAACCGAGTATTTTTACATATACTCCAGATCGGCTTGCACTTATGCCGAAGACAAGCAAGCGGAAGAATCTGGTGGGCTGGGATGACGCAGGGTCCCCTGGCTGGGCGGGACCGGGGTGGGGGTCCTCGTATTGCCCAGACCCTTGGGGCATCGGGCCCCCACAGTGCCTTGCGCAGGCCGGACTGTCTGGCTGGAGAGGCCTTGCAGGATGGGAGATGCCGGATGCGGGCATCTGAGCCGGGGCGTTCCAGGCAAGCACCCACCCGTCGGTCAGCAAGGGCTTCTCTCGCACTCTCTCCCTCTTGCTTTTTTCTTTCAGTCGCTCCATGTCTTTCCCTTTCACCCTTCACTCCTTCCCCTTCCCCTTCTCCTCCTCCATCCTTTCTTGTCTCCTTTTTCTTCCCTATTCTCTCACCCCCACAACTGTCTCTCTCCCCCTTCCCTTCCCTTCCCTTCCCTTCCCTTCCCTTCCCTTCCCAACACAAAGCCTCTCTGACCAGGGTCTGGGGATTAATACCAAGTTATGTTTATCTCCTCCTGCTACCGAGATCCATCTAGCCAGTTTCCTGACTTCACACTGATTTGGAAGGAAAACGTACCAAACAGGCAAGCAAAAGACTCCAGGGCTGTTAGCAAACGGAGCGTCCGTCCAGCAGGCCTCCCATCCTGCATCAGGCAGTGACCTCCGAGGTCCTTGCCAAATCTACGATCCTGTGGCTGTGGTTTAAGCACATCTCTGTGGCCTAGATCCCTTACTTGGAAGCCAGGCCTGCTTGGAACAGCGGGATTTCCTTCCGAGTGCTGCTGGGTAAGGTTGGGTTGCATGCTAGAAACCCAGCGATCCGCTTCTCCCCCTTCCCACCCTCCCCACTTCCCGAGTCCCAAGGACACCAGGCGTGCCACCAGCCCTCTCTGGAACATGCCAAAGTGCCGCGATTCGTTTTTCTAAAAGCAAGTTTTCTGTTTGAAAAGAGAGTTCCCAACTTGTTTCCTTTTAATGAAAAACAACACTGGAAAAAAAAATTGGACAGAGTCTCCTTCTGAAAATATTGACAATGTCTGTGATTACTCTATTGTTCGATTGCGATGTCCATGTGATTAAAAGGAGAAAAAACACACACCCAAACCAAAACACGAGAAATCGACCGCCAAAATTAACCTCATTAATCTGTTTTTTTATTTGAACTTATCAAAGATAATTCCCTAGTATGTGTGTGTGTGTGAAGTGTGTGTGTGTGTGTGTGTGTTTTGGAGGAATGATTCAAAGATAATGCCTACAACCTATTTTTGCCGCTGTAAATTGTGCATGCTACTATATATATATATATATGTATATGTGTGTGTGTGTGTGTGTGTGTGTGTGTGTGTATATATTTGTAGCTGTTTTCTCAAATGCCTTAATTTTTCTTGATTTGAGTTTTTGTACATTTTGCCATATAGTCATTATTCATGAAATCCTCAAACCACATTGTCTACTCTGGAACTAGAATTTTTAGGGTATCCAGAATACTTTTAGGATTGGGAAAATGCATTTTGGGACATTTTAAAAATCAGAAGTCTCTTTGGAGTAGTTCTGGTCTTCAAAGGGAAAGCATTCACACAATTTGCCCAAATGAAAAAATTGCATATAGAATTTTGTGCCTGGGTGATACAAATTCTTCACCAGGAAAGCTAACTCTTGTGGGGTGCATAAATTGTGCAAATGTCCAACTCCAAATGTGCATAATTTATCACAGTTTTGATTGTCAGGGCCGAGTGATAGTTACATTTTTCTATCTGTTTTCACTACACACTGGAAATCTTTCTGAGCCCCCCCCCCCACCTCCGTTTCCTTACCAGGT